TTGAAAATTGAGTGTTTGTCTAATGATAAAATGTTCTACGTTTATCCTATTATTTTCAAGCATTTTTACGCAAGTGGGTCTATAGTGATTTGTGGTATCAATGTATCTTTTTTTTATTCGATAGATAATTCTTGACTCTCTTCCAGCCCTGTGAATACTGATATTCTGTACTAGCGATTTCTTCTTTATCTCGAACTCTATAGCTCGTCTAGACAAAGTGATAGAAAAGACATTTATACGAAGATCAATGGTCAACAATCCAGCTACTGATCCTGACTATGAAGAAAAAGGCCAGGAAACGCCCGTTTTCGAGAATTTCTCACTGTCGCAAATAAAACTGGTCAACGAATATTATGATGATAGTGATTCAAAGACTGAGAAAAGAAAACACACTTGGAAGAACGTAAAACAGCAGTTCAACGAATACCAGAACTACTTGTCTTGCTTTCTTACCTACGTCGAAGAGAGGGGGACATAGAAGCAAAAAGTGGATTCGGTGGATGATTTTGTTCTTGTCAAGTTCGAGCAGGCTCGTGACCTTCTTCGACCTGTGCAGGACATCGACGTGAAGCGATGAATGCAACAACGAACATGATGGATATCTTTTACTGAACTTGTGGGTTCTGATACCTGAATTCTGAATGTCAAGCACAAACATGAGATTTGCTCATGCAGCATCACGAAGGTCAGTAGACCTTATCACAGATAGAATTCTTCAGTATTTCCTGGATAGATTGTGCATATTTTCTCAGGTCGTGACGAAACGAGCAGTCACAAATGCAGAAGAAATCCAAAAGTCTGTTGATCACCTTGTCACCGACGTTGGAAATGTACTGTATAATGTCGGAAATAAAGATGTCGCAGACTAAAAATGTCGGAAAGGTCGAAAGTCTAAAAGATGGTCGCACTAAAATTAGTCGCTAGGAAAATTGGTTGACATTTTTTTAATCAAAGAAAAAGTAGAATAGGCTCAAGACAAATAATCAAAGACGAATGAATATAAGTGAGCAGTTTAAAAATTGCTTTTCTGTGGAACAAAAAAGAACAGTTATAAAGAATAGAAGTTAAGCTAATAAACTCTAATTATTGGACTAATTGATAAAAGAAATGATAAGAGTAGATGCAAGGACATCAAGTTTAATAAATACTGTGATGTAACATATGTTTAACGCCCATTCATATTGTTATAAAACGTTATATAAATCATTATGGCCAGTACAATATCATTTATTACACGTAATAAAGGTAGCTTAAACCGTTTTTAAGTATGTTGTAAAGTTGTTTTTAATATATGATAAAACCTTACATAAAAAACGTTTATTATTATTTGGTACTGATCAACAATTAACATTTCTATTTTCTGTCAAACATGATGGATGATACATTTGATACATGTCCACCATCAAGTTTACTATTCATGCTGTTAAACATGAAAAAGTACGAGAATTTCCCTAGTGAAGTTTTTTTCCCATGCCAATGATATGGGTCCCTAAGTGCATGAGCTTCTCACTCATTTTTAAACATTTTTCATCAAAAACGCGTTAAAACGCTCTGTGTACACGAAAACTCGTAAAATCCGTCAAAAAAAATTAACTAAACCGGTTTAAACGTTGGCTGGTCATCACTGAAATGCGTTTAAACGGTCTTTTTTTAACTTTGTTCACCTTAAAAATACATTGTAACGCATCGTTTTTTCCTTTTCCACCCGTTTAAACGTTTCGTTTCATAGTCAAAATGTGTTCAAACGCATTTGAAACTGCCTAAGATGGGTTGGAAAAACGTAAAAAATGGTTTTAGCCCGTCGAAAATCACGATTTTAAATACAAAACTCGTAAAAATGCATCGAAAACCCCGTTTTTGGAAGGCACAACTGCAATAACGAGTCCGCAAGTTTAGCAAATGTCCTTCTGTGTTGTAGAGTGTTACGTTATTCTGTTGTTGTTTATAGAAGAGTTGTATTATAGGTTATATTAGATGTGATAAAATTCGATCTGCTCAAATAGCATTTAATAATAGAATATTTCAAAATCTCTCGTTCCAGAATTAATATCTAGTCTTCTCTCATGATACAGATTTTATTCATTACTCGGAAGATATAACCTTGCACTTTTCAAATTACTCTCTCATACAACAATCATGACAACTTAGCATGTCTTGCGAACGTAATCTCGTTGTTTTTTGCTATTCAGTGCTATTCAGTGCAGATCGAAAGTCTTTCTCGAGAATTTTATATATGATGGTATAGAGCAGCCGTCCTTTTTGCATAATTTGAATAATATCTATTTTAACTAAAAATAATTCAGTGTTGTTGATAGAGGCTACACATGATTTTCTGTTTCTTAGATAGTGCAGATACAAATAGTTTCGCATAGCTATGATTTCTCAGAGCTATAAAAGCACAGCATTACAACGTTTTATCTATTAACGAGTAGAACATATACTGACGAGGGAAGTACCCCAACTGATAGATCGCTTTTTCAACGAAACCGACTGGACTATAGGTAGTCGACGATGCTGATTCCGAATATCATCATGAGTGCTGCTGCTAGGCCTTCAAAGACCGGTCTTTGGAAAAGCAGTTTTCGAGAAACTCTAAAGAACAACCAAAAGCTTTCTTAATGAGGCGTAATTATAGTCCATAAATTTCTGATTAAAACGAGGCATCTTCCAGCTCTATATGACCTTTCTTTGCAAAGTTATAGAGTTTACAAGAAAAACCCTCAATTCATTTTTCGTTTTTCTTTCTGGAGCTCTGAGGTGACAATGAACATTTAGGGCTTTTCTTGTAAACTCTATAACTTTGCAAAGAAAGGTCGTGTAGAACTGGAAGATGCCTCGTTTTAATCAGAAATTTATGGACTATAATTACGCCTCATTAAGAAAGCTTTTCGTTGTTCTTTAGAGTTTCTCGAAAACTGCTTTTCCAGAAGACCGGTCTTTGAAGGCCTAGCAGCAGCACTCATGATGATATTTGGAATCAGCATCGTCGACTACCTATAGTCCACTCGGTTTCGTTGAAAAAGCGATTTAACAGTTGGGGTACTTCCCTCGTGAGTTGTAAAATCTGTGCGGGTGATCTGCAGCTGTAATGTGTCGTTCATTTCTAAATTACGATTCCGGCTATATCTGTAACATGCATTGACGCATAGTGCGAAAAACATACTTTAGTAAGTACAAGAGAAAGCGTATTTGTTTTGTAGTTGATTGGTATGTTAAATTTTATGTCTATCTCTATGTAACTTTGCTTGAAATTCATAAATTTAATAATACTTAAAGTTAATTCGACTATCCTCGCTAGCTCATAAGAGAAGTATGTTTCTCAAATTGGAAAATCAAATATAGATTTTGTTCAAATTTCCTTTTAGTCCCAAATCTGAAAAGATGAGTAACTAACATTGCTTTAGTAAAAAGTTCTTTACAAAAACGTTTTTTTAACCCATATGCTTAGCTTGTATATTTGTGGAAGGCTAGGTATGGATAAAAAGGTTTTTGTATAGAACTTTTAGCGACGTCATGGTAATTGGACTTTAGATTTTGAATTGAAAATTGATTCTCAATTATCTCGATGAAATCTAATAGGTAGATGAGATAGGTAACTTCACATACCTACCCGCACTTACACACTTACAGACCAAAACCTTTCGCGTGTATCCTCTCGGTACTACCCGTCACCGGTTCCCATCTTTCCAGTAGGCCTCAACTACAGACGAGATCGACTCGTGCACCTCGAACTCGTTGCCCTAGAGCAAAAGTTTTCGACTGCTTATTTGATGAGTGAGTATGTAGATAGAGGTATGTGTAGGTGTCTATCTTACCTACCTACCTTCTAAATTTCCTCGATTCTCTCAAGAGAATCTGAGAATCACTTTTGTAGCGAATGCGAATTAGATATAGTATGGATAGTTATTAATCTTTTCAAATTTAGAATTACAATGAAAATTGAACAAAATGGATTATTTATTTTTCAATCCTGAGGGACACATATGGAGATCTTCCCTTGTCAGAGTTGAAGAATTTCTAAATCGATTCAGAGTGTAAAACTGAATATGTCACATTTGTTTTTCTTTTCGACACACCTCTGGTAGAGAATATTTCCGAGAAATACATTTTCATTTCAAAGGTTTACAGTAAAAAATTTTGTAGTTCTCACTTGGGTGGCGAAGTCTGGCCTTCAGTCAAAACTGAATAAGCCGATCGATCGAGCTCACAGAGTTGTCTATGACGTCTCATTAACTTTTGTGAAACAGGTCGGTGAGAGAATATGTTCTGAGAAAAGTAAAATATCGAAATAACTTTACTTACGTCGAAAAAAATGCATTTTGCATAAGTAAGAAATGTCTCCACGCCATGAGATTCTTATTCAAGAAAGTCATGTGTTTGAGAAAAAGAGCTTTACTAGGGCTATATACAAGTTGTTTTCAGAACGTTTTAAAAGATCCGCAAACAGCCCGATTATGATCAGGCATAATAGAAGAAAAAAATGACCAAGAAACGGCCTAAAAATGGCCCATTAATGACACAGTTAATTGACTGTTTTTTGTCTTTACCATTTACCGGATATTTCTAGATTTTATTTTTGAAGATATAAAGACGGTCAGTAATGGAAACGTTTATAGGCCATTTTCAAACCGTTAACAGGCTGTTGTTAAGCTGACGTTGTTTGGCTATTAATGTGCAATTTATTGCCCATCTTTTTCCTCCTGGGATGGTTGTTTATTTGAAGAAAGTTTGAAGGTAGTGACACCGCTTGAATTTCTAAAGTTTTTCCTTATTATTATATATTTCACATGAAATAGACTACGTTTGGTTCGAATTGCAACTCTGAAAGGCAGAATCAAATGTTCACGAACTGTAACAATGTCTGTTCAAAGGTACATATTGCAGAGGATAGATTCGTTTGTTGAATATTGTGTTTCGAAAAGAGTGCATGCTAAAGTTCTATTTCGGTCTAAACAATTGTTGTACTCGTGATTAAATTGAAAAGATATCATCATGAATGTCTAATGCGCATATCTTGTTGCTCCTGTTACTGTTGTTTCGGTGAGTGGTATTGGTTTTCTTAAACAATAGAATACAATACGTTTTAACTCTTTTCGAAACACTTTTCCGGTTAACGTGTAAATATAAAAACTTGTTGAACTGTTCATAAGCGATATTAACACGACCAGTGTACTTAAAAAATTTTCAATTTGTTGTCTTTCAACCGACTTTACCCATGTTAGTGTTAAATCAGAATATATTTTTTGAACAGATATTGGTAGTGATAACAAGGCAATACATGTAACTTGAACCGATAACATTACCATTAGTTGACGATCCTTTATCTTAATCCTAGTTGATGTTGCTTTTGATGTTGGTGAAATACGACGAATGAGCCGAATGTTTTTTATTGTTAGTATTCCAACTGATAACATAAGTATTGGTGGTAGCAAACTGTAGGTTATTAACAGATTGAAATCATTGAATAACATGCAAGCGTTCGCTTTTGGAAGACAATTGAAACTTAACACACTTGTTTCAAAACAATAAAACATTTCTCCATAGATAATAGATACAATAATAACTGTTATACAAACTGCCCGTTTAGCTATTTTAACACGAGACAACGAACGAATTCTTACATTTTGTGAACTAGAAGCAAATCGATCACAGCAAGCCAACACAGTAAACCATGATGACATTGATAATGCGACGTATGTAAAATATGTTCGAAATTTACAGTAGATTGCTAAAGTTGATGTTGATGGATTAATATTATAACTACTGAATATACGTGTTATGTAACCAAAATATAATGAGACAAAATCGACTATTGTCGATGCTAAAAAATAGTTTGCACAAGAATTGGAACGAAGAGATTTTTGTGTGAATATGAGAACATTTAATATATTTCCAAATGTGCCAAATATTAACATAATCATGGGAAAATAACGGACTAGTTGAACTGATGCATTTTGAATTTCAATGACTATGGATGATGCTGACGTTACATTCGACATTATGTTTTATTTGTTTCTGCAATTAGAAAAATAATAACGAGACGTGTAATGCAAAAAAAAGAAAGGTCTAGAGAAAAATATTATACACTGAGAAAACCTTTCATTTTAGAAATTTCTTTTCGTATTGAACAAAAGACTCCACAATTAATCTATTCACATCCATCATGCGGTTAAGAATCACTTCAATTAGACGTTTAAAGTTGTAACAATAATCTTGTCTATAGGATACTCCCCTTTATCCTCCCTTTTATTATCTCTGCCGAAGTATTTATTAATCTCGACGAATTTACGCCCAATTTCTTCACTAATGATAACTTTCATATTTCAGGGAGTTTTTCTGAACACGTCTTAACTCATTTTATAATACATTTTGTTGAAGTACATACTCGACATTTATGCGTGCAAAAAATTAATGTTTCAATTCTGAAGCACAATCATAAGACGAATCATATTATTTTATAGATTAATTTTAAGGTGACCGAAATTCAATGTTGGTGAAAAAATTTTTAAACTTTTTCTACAGCTCATTGGATCATCAGTCCATGAACCAAACGTTCTTTCGTATAATCCTAAGCAAATGAAACTGTATAGTGGAAAAAAACATTTCATTTATTTTTCTAAAATTTCACTAAATTTTACCTACTTGCTGAAAAAGATCGTGTGAGCAGTTCACGCATGACATATTTTCACACAATGAATCAGTAACTTAGTCGAGAATTACGCGTGATTCCAGGGAGAAAAGGAGTTTTACCACTTGAGCTATGGATAATTCACGCTTTAACTACCGATTAATTCTGTGAGAATGTGTCATGCGTGTACTGATCACACGATCTTTTTATCAGCGGGCAGGACAAATTCAGTGAAAACTTAGAAAAATCAGCTAAAGTTTTCACTATATCGTCTCATTCGCATCTAATGTTTTATTCTGATTCGTCATAACTAAAAGCAAATATTCACATTTTTAAAATTTAAAATCATTAATAAATTAATGGAACATGAGTAAAGCCGTTAAAATGCTTCTTGTACATTTTACAAACCTATCTATGTTTTCGGTTGGAAGATAAAACAATTTTTTTATTTTATTATAAACATCATACTTATGAAAAGAAAGCTAACTATTGGTTTTAGTTTATTTTGCTTCGTTGCGAAGAAAATGAATTTACTATTCACAAAAATTAGCGCGTCTGACTGGAAGAAGCCTTAATGAAACACATTCATTAGTGTTAAATAAATACAATTAGATAAATTATCGCCGTGTGTGGGCAAAATACATAATATAAAACACTATATCG